GTTAACAAATTTTAAATTAGATATATAAATTAGTATATGTAAATATTCTTTTTATTAGTTTTCCTATTTGGTTAATGAAAAAGTTAAATATTATTAGTCGAAAGTGCTCACGTTCGCTCTCAGAATATGAGCAGTCGTTTTTGCCCCCTCCCCCCCCCCCCCCCCCCTTTAATTAGATTAAATTAATGAAATTTCCGTTTTGTTAATAAAAAAAAAAACGGAATTCTGGAAAAAGGAAACATATTGTTTTCGTTTCTTCAACCCTAATTCGTTTATTCGCTTATTGGGCTTATATTTTTACGAAAAAAAAAGCCCGGTAAGTTTTACACCGTCATATGTAAAACCCTAAAACCTTATGCTGGAAATTCCTATAAATATAGGATGCCTCTCTTGAAAATCAAACATCACGGCTGGCTTTTTATGCATAGCAATTATGGTTTATAGTTCTTTTTTGTACCTCAAATTTGGTCCTTTCTATGATGCATCGTCGTCGGGTTTTTTTCCTCCTTTTTATGTTATGGTCACTTGGAAAGTAAGATCTCAAAGATCTTTGCCAATTTGTGATGAGTTGTTTACGCGAGGTTTATAGCTTGGTCGATTACATGTTTTGATTTTCGTAGCTGTTTGGTTTTATATGCATGATAATTCTCATGATTTTGATTATCACTTCTTTCTTTTCTCAGGTACAAGCATAAACTTTTTGGATCACTTTTTGGATCGTGGAATTGCAAACGAGGCTCAAACCAAACTGAGGTATTTCCCTAATCTTGCTTGATTTATGTGTTTTTTTTTACCAAAAAAAAAATTAATTTGATTGCTCTACTATTGCGTGATCATATAGTTACGATCATCAATCGATCGACCGTGCGGCCTTATTTTCTTTGATACGATCTGTATTCTTTTACGTGTTGTTTTTTTTTTAACGCATTGTTTTATCGTTTCGAATATATTTCTGTGATACGTAAACTTTAAATCTGTTCATCATGTTCTTTGTCCTTTACCCTCACCGTTTCTCCTTTTTATGTTATGGTTTCTTGGAAAGTAAGATCACATAGATCTTTGCCAATTGTTGATCAACTTCTTAAATGAAGTTTATAGTTTAATTGATTACATGTTTTGCTTTTCATAATTGTTTGTTGTTATATACGTGTCGATTTAATTAATAAAATCTCCTAAAGATATTAGGGTTTGTTTCATCTTGCGAAAAGGTAGTCTCTTATCAAACTATATTTTTTAATTTTATCGTGAATTTATTTATTTGTTTTTCTTTTTGGCGGCTATAAACCCTAGCGTATATATATTTTTCTTCCGGGACAAATCATGGGTCGTATCCACGAGCAGCTCTTCAAGATAAGATCACGAGCGAGATTGCAGAGGTAACATGCTTCTTTTTCCGAACCCTTTCAGATTCGTTAGCTAAACATTTTTTTCCGTTAGCTAAACATATTCATTAGACAGAAACGTACTTGATCTTCTTATTGTCTATGTTCATGATTTTTCAATAGTCATGGTTTTGACGAGATTGTTAACAAAGAGACGTTTATTTTCTTTGATCATTAAGGATTATGAAAATAATTCAAAAATTTAGTCTTCAACTCCTGTTTAATGAACTGCCTCTAAAGCAATGAATTGCATTTAGGTTTGTTTGATCTATTTCTTGATTTTATTCGCATGATGGGCTTTGGAATAACTCAGGATATCTTCATACAATGTTCTTAAAACACCAAAGCTCATGAGATATAGCTTTCTTCAAGTCTCTCAGTGCTTCCAGTGTCATCCATCAAAAGACAACATATGTGTCTCTTATCTTTCGGAGCTGTCACGGCCTTCGCTTTTGGACTCACGAATACCAGTTTCAAATACAACAGGTTCGTAGCTCAATCCCTAAAATTTTCTCTAAGATTCATAGCTAAAGCTGTAAATTAAGGCAAGAGATTTGCTTCTTTTTTATTTGCATGATTCAGGAAGACCAAACCCTCAAGAATAATTCCACTACGAAAAGATCACTCCAAGAAATTCGTTTGTTTTCTCCAACTCTGCTCTTTGAATAGCGGAAAACAAAGATATGTGGTCAATGGAGTCTTTTATATGACATGTTCGGAGATCAGTCCTACCACTCGATCTCATATTATCTCCTGTCCTTTTATTCCTCAAGGAACACCATTAACAACATGTCCTACCTCCCAAAACTGGTTGTTCGTGTTCAAATTCGGTGGTAACTCAAGAGTTGTGAAGATGGTAGCCTCCCATTGACCAGACTCGCGGAGACGCTGTTCACATGGAAGGTAAGGCTACCGCGTGTACTGCGTGCCGTATCAACTCACGAGGTATAGGCCTGGAATTGGCCACTTGAGTTGGTTAAGGCGACGAGCGCGTGCGTCCCAACCATCTGAGTACTACTTGGGTTAAGTCCCCAAGCAATCCAAGAAGAAGAAGAGGTTCCATGGTGGCCAAAGGCGATGGAAACAGTATCATTTGGTTCGTTGTATATCCAGTGGAGAAAAGAGCCTAAGGTCGAAGCTCAAAGTAATCGTCTTTCGGCGAAGGCGAGGTTATTGGAGAAATTGTGTGTGTCACAACCAAACTAATAAGAAAAAAGTGTTGCCAACACGGGGGATAGAGCTCGCTTTGGATAGTGTGGTCGGTCCATGTCTTTGTGTTCTATTTTGAAAGTTGGGGGGATTTATGAGAGTTTCGAGGCTTTAAAGAGATATATAGAAACACAAACACTAATGCCTTTTTAAAGGTTACGAAAGTTGGAAGCTGTTCTTTGTTGACTATTTTTGCCCATTTTGTATCTTTCTCTTTTCTAGATGTGATATAATATAAACGTAACCTTCATATTTCTCAAATTTAAGGCTCTTTTTAAGAACATGATTATAGTATGAATAATTTTTGGAGACAGATCTCCAAGTTGATTTTCATTTTAAAGGTGCGGATTTGCAGCTTCCCGGAAAAAAATACATGGTGGCAGGATTCAATCACCGGCGTTTTGTGTTTGGCCATGGGAAGTTCTAACGGGATGTCTGTTTTTGGAAATGCTCACCAGCTGAATTTACATGATCTTGAGAAAGAAACGGTGTCATGTGTTCCCATTAAATGTGGAAAATTGTAGATTTTAATTGTTTGTTTTTCTTTCGTTATAAATAAACCTTTTACTTTGTGACAATGTCAAATGTCTCAATAATTATACACCAGTCGATATATATCTCCGAAAAAATATAAAATAATGTTTTGTGTTTTGTTGGTATGGAAACGAGGATAACAAACGGAAGCTATCCTTGCAAAAAAAAAATCATATTAATTTGTATATTGATAAACAGTTATTTGAACCTAACTAAAAAATAAGTAATTCTCTCTGTTTCCATGTGTCCTTGAGACCACGATGATAATCACATGTGCTTGGTTTTTTTTAGTTGTCATTATGTGTTTGAGTTTAAGCTGCAGAAACTTCTAAATGTAGTAACACTATAACAAAAAGAAGTCTATCTTTTCTTATCAAGTTTAAAAAAAACAAATTTACATATAGTGTGATAAATTTATTTTATACTTAATTATCAGAATGATAAATTTTTAATTATCCGAGATAATAAAATATTCAGATTATTATTTGATATGAAAATATAAAAATTACGATTAAGATTTTGACAAAAAAATATATATTAAGATTAAGATTTGGAGAATATAGAAATTGGCAATTGTTATCTTTCTGAATTAACTAAAAATTCAGCATTACATGAAAATTGTTATTTCATATATATATATATATCCGCTATAAAAATGGGAAAAATGACGCACAAAGGGTAACTAATTTTAATGGTAATTAACTTTTCTCGACACTATAGATCTTGGTTAATTTTTTTAACATGGAATAATGATGAGTAAAGCTATTTTTTAATTTCTGGGTCGATAATATATTTTAAAAATTAATAAAAATAATTTTTTAAAATTTATGTAGATAATGATAAATATAAAATTTATACTATTTTTAGGTAATATCATCGAAAAAATTATTTCTCTGATCTCTTTATTTTTATCCATATATTCTAAGAAAGTAAGGAATTTTTCTTATATTTTTTTATTTTAACATGGCTAAAAATGAAAAATGGTAGTTTTACCAATATTAGTTGATATGATAACTATGTGCTTTAAAAAAATATAAAACTTCTTTTTTTGTAGTTATTATCGTCGAAAAAAGAGAAAACCTAAAGTCTACCGCTTCTTAGCTTAATATAAATAATTTGCATGTTTATACTTACGGTTCATAGCTAAACCCAGCTTTTTTACATTGTTTTTTATTATACATATTATTATAGTTTTATAGTTGTGATGTTTTTTTTATGATTGTAGGTTTTGGATATGTGAAAGCAACCATGATGCATGAGATTTGGGTGATGTTTCAATTGATTGAGAGGTGACTGTTAAAATATAGGTTTGGGTTTATGAAGTAGGAGTTAGGGTTTAGTGTTATACATTTAGACGAATTTAAATAAATAATTTGGGTTTATAAGGTAGGGTTAGGATTTAGTGTTTTATATTTAGACAAAATTAAATATCGGTTTGGATTTAATCGGTAGGAATTAGTGTTATACCTTTAGACAAATTTAAATATCATATTGGCTTATAAGGCAAGAGTTAGGGTTTAGGCTTGATATCGCTCTTTCATACTGTAACCAAACAGATTCAAACAATGGAAAAATCTCATTAGATTATATTAAAATGATTTATGACTTAACTTATAATGTTTGGGTTTATATGGTAGAGGTTAGGGTATAATGTTTTTCATTTAGACGAAGTTAAATATCGGTTTGGGTTTCAAAGGTAGGAGTTATGGTATAGTGTTATACATTTAGACGAAGTTAAATATCGGTTTGAGTTTATAAGGTAGAAGTTAGGTTTTGGTGTTACACATTTAGACGAATTTGAACAACTAAATTGGGTTTATAAGGTAGGGATTAGAGTTTAAGGTATAGAGGCCCCATAATTAATGATTAAGTTGAAAGATTTAGACGAATAAGGGGATATGAGGGTCTTGACCGAGACTCCTATTGGTAAGTTTTCGTTTTCTTCCTTTCATTTTTTTGGTTTTAATGTAACTATGAGTTAGCTAACAAATTAAATCCCTAAAACTTAGATACGGTGGGATTTTCCGTCCATATTGGCGGTCTTAAAAGAATCTCTTACGTTCGTTGGCAATTCGATAGGGATAATGGATGCAACTGTGTTTATTTCATATTAAAGAATTATAGGTAAGTTTCCTTTTAATTTTGCATGCCAATATTTTCGTATATATGTCGTTTTTATTTTGGTTTGTAAATTAAAAAGGGTTGAAATTGAGATATTGCGCGGTGGGAGATTTGACCGATTAGTTTATGAGAGTGTGGGTTAACTGAGAATACGATCGTTCATACCGTCGTGATCCTGTGTTTTGCGTTTTGAGGTTTTGGCGGGTTGATGAGTACAAAAGTATTGATTGATATTTCTTTATCATATTAAAAAAAAAAAAAACTTAAGGCAGCTAATATATTATATGATCTTATCGAATTGTATATTTTTCCGAGAAACCATGTCTCATGAATGGAAGTGGATGTTCTAGATTTTACCTTGACTCGGAGTTTTACGATCTTGAAGAGATCAAAGAACGGGTAATATTCAGAGTCTATCATAATATATTAATTGGATGTTCGCGTTTGTTTCGGTTAATAACCTAGCAAGTTTTCCATATATAGTACACTCGCGATGGCTTTTGTTTGGGCTGCAAGGAATGCAAGATATTCAGAGTCGGATGATTGAGTGGATCATAGAAAGGTCTACACAAATGTTTGATTAGTTTGGTGTTCTTATGAGTTACAATTAATGGGTAAATCATTGTACTAGACACGTTTGATCATTTGTAATAATTCGATCGTATTTTAAAATCACTAAACTATTTTTAATCTTTATAATTTGAATTTTTTTTTCGAAAAATCATTTTGGCCGCGTAAGGCGCGGGTAACTACCCTAGTTAGCCTTTACACATCGAGTTTTAGGAGCTTAATTTGTTGGTAACATCCCTAACGAATTTCCAGATCTAAGTATACCCCAAGCCCAAATACAACGACATGAACATTAATTTTTCCAAAGTACATAATGCAAATTACCATCAGTCCAATATACAGTTGCCTACTTGCCTTCTAATCTCTCCAACCTATTTTTATAGTTGCCTCCTAACGTAACCATAAAAAGAGCTTGAAACAGACCACACATATACTCCACAGATCTTACAATCGATATTTAGGCCTCATTACCACTGGAAATAGTCTTTTTTTTTCTAAAAATGAAATCCAAATATATCGGTTAGAAAAGCTGAAAACATGAATGGTGGAGAAGAAAGTGGAACATTCAAATCTCTCTCCTCCTAGATACTATATAATGGCAGCAAAACATATGAACAAAACATAAAAAAAAAAAAAACTTTTAAAATAATAAATAGTCATAACTAGTGTATTACAAAAAAAAAAGTAAATAAAAGTAATCACTAGCTAGTGACTAAAATAAATCCCAATTATGGGTCGTGTACATTTTGGAGTATCAGCATTCTTTGTTTTTTGTTTGTTAGGTTTATCAGCTAATGCAAAGGTCTTTAACATTGGTTCTCCTCCAGGTTCTGATATCACTAACGTCAGTTCTAAAACCTAACAATCATCTCGTTTATCGATACATTGTTTTCTTGTTCTCCAAGTAATTTTAAATATCTTTCCGATATAGGCATTGTTGAAAGCTTTCAATGAGGCATGCCAATTCCCTACAAAGAGCACTGTTCTTATCCCAAAAGGTGAATACAAGCTTGGGGAGATCGTGATGATGGGTCCATGCAAAGCTCCTATAAGGATTGCTCTTCAAGGTACCGTGAAAGCCGACGGTAACGCTAATGGAAAGGAGAAATGGGTCGCTTTCCGCAACATTGATGGGTTTAAGTTGAACGGAGGTGGTGTTTTCGATGGTGAAGGAAACGCAGCATGGAGGGTCAACAACTGCCACAAGACTTTCAACTGCAAGAAACTTCCCATCGTAAGAAACCCTTTCATATTATATAAGATAACTCCGCGATTTGATGTGTTTGTTGATGTTTTGGTGTCATTGTTGAACAGAGCATCCGTTTTGATTTCGTTACCAACGCGAAAATTAGAGGCATAACCTCCTTAGATGCAAAGAACTTCCACATTAACGTGATCGGTGCAAAGAACATGACATTCGAAGACGTCAAGATCATCGCCCCTGCAGAGAGTCCCAACACCGATGGTATCCACGTTGGAAGAAGTGACGGAATCAAGATCATCAATTCATTTATCTCAACAGGAGATGACTGTGTCTCTGTTGGAGATGGGATGAAGAACCTTCTTGTCGAAAGAGTTACATGCGGTCCGGGACATGGAATCAGTATTGGAAGTCTTGGAAGGTATAGCCACGAGGAAAACGTCAGTGGCATCAAGATCATCAACTGCACCCTCCAAGAGACTGACAATGGGCTAAGGATCAAGACATGGCCTTCTGCAGCTTGTACCACAACCGCCTCCGATATCCATTTCGAGAACATCCTCCTCAAGAACGTCAGCAACCCCATACTCATCGACCAAGAGTACTGCCCATGGAACCAATGCAACAAGCAGGTACATAAAAAATTACTGTAGGAATTCGCCTGTTTTTTTGTAGTATATATATGTAGAAAGTACATGAACACTACTATATATAGTATGGATTATGATTCCAAAACGTTTGATGTTTTGTTTTTTTTTCCGTAGAAACCATCAACAATCAAGTTGGCCAACATAAGCTTCAAGAAGATCAGAGGAACATCAGGAAACAAAGACGCGGTGAAGCTTTTGTGCAGCAAGGGACATCCATGCCAGAACGTGGAGGTCGGTGACATTAACATCAAGTATACCGGAGCCGACGGTCCAGCGACTTTCCAATGCTCAAACGTATCACCAAAGCTTGTGGGAACTCAGTTTCCAAAAGCGTGTAGCAGTCCGGTGACAAAGCCACCAAAGTAGAATGTGTGTATATATTATATGCTCATACACAATCTAAATGTACACCATAAGTGTATGCTGTACGTATGCTTTTAATTGATATCTTTGTGAAATAACCTTTTTTGAGCTTTTGGCTATATTGTAAGAAATGTATCCTTCTTGAAAAAAACAAAACATCTAACTAATTTTATAACTTGTGACTAATTCCAAACTACATTCAATATAGTTGAACGAAGTTATTATACCAATTTAAATTTGCGATGAAATTCCTCTCATTTCGATTGTCATGCTTTTCGTGAAACCCTTCCTAAATTACGTGGAATAAGTCCATTAGAAAACCTGGTGAATGGGCTACTCGACGACTACACTAAAGGTAGTCGGTGGCTAAAGTCGGGATTAATTCTTGGTTATAAAAAAAAAAGGAACTACATAATATTACAAATCCTGGTCGATGTTTTTAAATCCATACACAATCAAAACTCTAATTTGAAGTAAATTATTGATAAAATAATTTATTTATATATAACGCCATAAAATTATTGTTATGATTTTTATTCAGTGACTATTCTTGTAAATTATACGTACATTTGATACATGTTTCGTCATCTCCCACTCTCATTTGTTTTTATATTAGTTTTTCTACTTCCAAACAAATTAACTCTACGTAGTACCCGGAGCAGCTTATTGGCATACTTTCTCTGTGAAGTAAAACTTACAGAGCCAATACAAGCCGTTGTGACTTGGCCAAAAGTATTATTGCTTCTACTCGCTGATCTTTTGCCAAGGCAAGTTGGCTTCTTTTGGTTGTTGTGGGACTGAAGGCTCTTCTTTAAAGAAACTAGTTCCTCTTCGAGGTTATGGATTCTGTAGCTTGTTGACTCGTACTCATCCAATGTTGCATCTTTCTGCATCAAGAAGCATAACGGTCTGTTTCTTGCCCCGGTTTCATCATCAGTGCAAGGGCTTTGTTGGGAAGTTAAGGGTCTTGAGCTTGGAACAACGCTACCAGAGAAGTCTGCAGAGTTTGTGAATCTGAATGAGTCAGAGCAGTCTTTGAAAGCTTGGTGTGTGTTGAGCTGTTGGATAAAGAGAGCTTGGACAACCAAACGTAATGGCATTTGCTCGTTTTTTACGAGTTGGAGGGACGTTGCTTGTGATAGTTTTTGGCAGTTTAGGTAACTGCAGATTGATCCTTTTTCTTCTTGAGATATGGTTGTATTTACCTAAAGCAGAGCCGCGTCACGTAAGGTAGTATGTTGGTTGATTTTACATAATGGAAGAAGGAAAAAGTGAAGGCATACCTGAAGAAATGCGTTTAGTGCAAGGTAAAGTTGGTCATGACTCTCTCTGAATGACATTGGGATTGTCTCAATCAGCTCAATGAACCTTGTTGTTTTCATCTCTTGATCATACGGTAAACGAGAGAGAAAAACATCCCATAATCTTCCAACTCTCATGTTGCTTGGGGAGGAAGTATGATGTCCTTCTGATTCTGTTGATACATATGTTGAAAACAGGGTTTCCATTGTAAGCAACTCCTGACTGAAAGAAACTTGCCCGTTCCCGGCTTTCGGGTATATAAAGTTTTCGGTGTGTGCAGTGTGAAGAAGAGATACAATTTGATCTTGCAGCTTCAACACAGTTTCATGCTTCAAATTGTGTGCGAGACACGCGAAATAAAACCCGACTGGAACAAACCTATATGCCTTGTCTCTTGTAAGAAGCAGATCAAGAGCTCTTTGCAGAATATCAGTATTACTTTGACCTTCAGGTACTACAGATTTGCTGGCATAAAAGACGATCAATGGACTTACATATCTTTCTTTCATCCCTTGTCTTCTAAGTGACCCAATCACTTGTCTGAAGAATTCGAATGGAAGATCTGTGAGGTCTTTGATCCAAGTATCTTGGTTTATAATTTTCTCTACGGTTGTATATTCCCATGGTTGATTAACCAAACCTCCAAGCATAACTACCGGCTTTTCTCTTCGTCTTTCGGGATCAAGAATCTCCATACAAGCCGTGAATGCCAGAGACTCTATGCACCGGCTCACGATTAGTAAATTTTCAGACCAAGGCAATAGATCCTGACATTTCTTCAGAAGAACTAACGTATCATCCCAGTTTTGCAAGACAACTTGGTTTAGATATAGGTCAAATCTTTCGCAGAGGTTGCCCGTCGAATGTTGTTCTGTCATTTCAAGAAATTGAGCTGCACATCTAAGTCCAGCGATGTTGAATGGATGTATTAAAGTTGGGCAGCCATAAATGAAAAGCATAATCTTCTCAAAGGTCTCTGCTCCACCAGGAAACTCATGTGGTATCTCGATCTCCGATAGCTGATCTTCTCTTTCCTTAAAATATCCGCTCTTTGTACACAAGAGCGTCTACAAAGAAAGACAAAATTAAGCATGAGAACACTACAAAACCACTAGGCTACATGTATTGGTTGAAAACAAAATTCTTTGGAAGATTTTTTTTTTTTTTAGAAAATTCCTTGAGAGATTTGATATAACATTATTACCTTGTGAAGGTTAAAACTCTTGTTGCACACTCGAACATGTACTGACGCAGGTAGACCGGTCTCTTTACTCCTGTGACACACACACACACATAAAAGATACATTACATAAGTCTACAACATAAATAATTCAGATTTGCTATATGACATCAAGAAGATAATCTTTAGATTCATACCAAGAAAGAACTTTGATTTTCAAAAGGGTACTAATATTCGGAGAAGAAATCGGGCTGGAGGCGACGGAGGAACCATCCTTGATGCTGCAAGTTTCCATTATTGAGTATATAACTTGTGGTTTTTGAAAACTATAAAGTATATCAAAACCAATATGGTCATGATGAAAATAGAGACATTTGGTCATCCATTTATTCTTCTTCACTGTTACATTTTTGAAGATGAAAGTTGCGTGTTTTGGGGATTGAAGAGGAAGAAAAGGGTTCTAGGATCCACAAAACAAGAGGAAGCTAAGGAAGATTTGAGAAAAACCAAGTTTCTTTTGGTTTCGGTTTTATCAAATATTAAACTATAATATGGCTACTTGCATGCAGGCACACACATATATGCGTTATAGATGTGGTCAAAGTCAGATGCACACGAGTGTTGAGCTCAAAAAAAGATCTCAAAGTTCAAGGCTAGAAGTTGAAGACGGCGTTCCTCGAGTGTTGAGAAGAGTTGAAAAATCTTGTATTATAACATTTTTTTCTTTGCTTTTTTCAACAACATTTTTGTTTTCTTACTCCAACACATTGTTTTTTCTTTTCATTATTACAAGAGTCGAAATTGTTCTAATTAGACATTTTGGTGACGCTTATTTATGATCTTACCGCCTTACGATCTGGTCTTCGAGTGATTTAATATATTTTACTTGATAGTGATTTGAGTATTTCTACGAATATATAATTATATATTCTTACAACCATGGTACATTACGGGAAAATCAAGAGAGGAAACTTAAGTATTGCTTCCTTAGGAAGAATTCGCTCATAGAGAACAGGAAAGAGGAGGCTGAAATTGGGGGAGCAAAAGACAATTAGAAATTCTAATTTTATTAGAGAATACCTTATAATTAATGACACTCATGTAACCTGATTTAAAGTGGCTTTACTAGACTAACATAAATTTTTTGGTAAAAAATGACATCAATGTCTGAAGTGGATTACTCTAAGATTATTTAAAGTGGATTTACTAGACCAAGACCATCTGCAATGCAAATCTCTATTTTTTTACTCTATAATAAAGTAACTTTAAAATAGAGCATGTTTTCTTTCCAATGTATCACTCTATATCCTACTCTAAAATAGAGGTAGTGTAAAAAAACAAAGAATTGTTCTATATATAGAGCAATCCTCTTTTTTTTTTTTGTCAACAGCTTAAATTAGAGCTCAAAAGAGCCATTCTTGGGGAATGTTGTTTACATATGTGATATCAAGCGGTTCGGTACGAACTTGTCGAGCCAATCCTCTCTTTTACTCTATTTTAGAGTGGGATATAGAGTAGAGTTCAAAAGAATTATGCTTTATAATAGAGTTTAGAAAAAAAACTAGAGTGGGGTTGGAGATGCTCGAACAGGTTTTTGGTAAAAATGATATCAAACTCTGATTTTTTATTATTTTTAATATAGTATTTTTATTCGTCTTTCCCTCTAAAAAGGCATCATTTAAAATAAACGGCTTTAAGATGATATAATACACAAAAATTTGATTTGAAGACCAAGTATGTTAAGGTTGAGTAAACCCAAAGATAAATGTAATAACACTTTGTTGTGGTCTTAACCAGCTAATATAGCTCGAATGGTGACATGAATCTCCTAGACCAGATTAGCTACCAGTTTTGCATTGTTTTTTCTTTTTTTGAATAACCGCGGGTCTCCCAAAGGCTTCCTAGGTCCAAGGACTAATCCCACGAGGCTGGCAATTCCCCTATGTAAACCTGCCAGTGGCCGTGCCTCGAACCCTGGTGGCGGAAGTCACAGCTGTGACCCCTTTACCACTAGGCCACAAGGCCCGGTTTGTTTTGCATTGTTAGTGTGAATCATCGAGTTTCTCTCTTTCAAATCTGACTGAATTTTTAGTCGATTCAATTTGATCGGATTTACTATAAGATTATTTAAAGTGGATTTACTAGACTAACAAATTTTTTTGGTAAAAATAATATCAAACTCTTATTTTTATTATTTTTAATGTAGTACTTTTATTCATCTTTCCCTCTAAAAGAGGCATCATTTAAAATACATGGCTTTAAGATGATATAATACACAAAAAATTGATTTGAAGACCAAGTAGTTGAAGGTTGAGTAAACCGAAACCAAGTTGAAATGTAATTTTCTTGAGGTTGCCGAGTTGGAGCGACCGGAGGTAAATGTAATAACACTTATAGACTATAGACCAGCTAATTTATCTCGAATGGTGACATGAAACTCCTAGACTAGATTAGCTGTCGGTTTTGCATTGTTAGTGTGAATCCTCGAGTTTCTCTCTTTCAAATCCGACTGGATTTTTAGTCGGTTCAATTCGGCATAATTTTAGAAAACCGAAAAACCATAAAAGAACGATTAAACTGATTAAACCAGTTTCAAACATATCTTCGAGATCATATAAGTTTCAAACATTTAAAATCTAAAAATTTAGGCCCAATAATGTGGAAATCGACTAACAGCCCAAATAATCAGAAGCCCAAAAGTCAAAAACTAAGCGAGCATATATATTGTAAAACCTCTATAAATTAATATTCGATAAAATTAATTAAGACGATAATATAGTCCAAATATGGTACAGTATAAAAATTAACTAAATTCGATATGATAATAAGATAATATTTTCTTTGAAATTCGTATGTAAGAATATGGTCCCAATAATATCATAAATTAATATATATATTATTTTTTATAAAATAACCAAAAATTTTCTGTAAATTTTCAAATTTTGAATACGCATAATTTTTGTTTTAATAGTCGTATAGATTCTTCGAATACAACAATGGATGTCATTATTTATAAATTTGAATTTATGTATATCGTTTTTCTACGTGAATTCTATAATATTTGTTATTCATTGTCAAAAAAATTGTTTTCTATTCAAAATATTAAATGTTTAAGTCTAAAACTACAAAATTTATAATATCTAAAATATTAATTTTATTTAGATCAAGTTATATATGTAACTTTTGTTTATGTATATTGTTTGCAAAAAGGTGGCCGTGCATAGCACAGGGTGAAATACTAGTAGGATGATAATTCCAGATTTCTGACCATCTAAGAGAAAATCACTGCTAGATGATAAACGGTCCCGATGATAAACAACAAAACAAAAGAGATGGAGGAAAATAAGTTTATGGTCAACCGAGACGGTGATGCATTGGCTGTGGTTTTAAATACTAGATATCAATAACCAACCATAGAGAAAATCATGGACATAGGCACCAGGGAACTTTGCAATCTCTTTGTGTCTGGATCAGCAATGGTAAAACGTATGGATGGTAACCAATTATCGGATGATCTCCTAGCAGTTCTAATAGAGTTCCATATGCAATAATCATCTATTAGCGTGTTAGACCTGATCAAAGAAGGAAGCTGCGTGAGATTTCAGTTAGTCATTAAAGTTAGGCACAAACCCGCTTTCTTTTTTTTTTTTTTTGAATTGAATGTAAAATTGTATTCAATCAAAAACCTTGTTTACAATGACTGCATCAGCTATTGTTTACTTTTTTGGAAAGGAAGTTGAAAAACTTTGAAGCATAAATCGAATGTCTACTCTCTATCATACCATAGAACGTGTGGCAAACCACATCCGTAGCGCTCCTTCGTATCTCTGGTCTCCCATATCTCGGATTGCACTAAGTCGGTTTCAAACATTCTTGTCAATAAGCTTAATGAGTCGATCATGAGGTGAGGGAATTTCTCCATGCCTTCTTGCGTTTCTCTCTGCCAAATAGGATATAAGGCAGATTGAAAAACGTACCGTAGAAGGAATTGGTGCAGCCGGGGTTGGTTTGAGCTGTTTAGTGAAGTGATTAAGCAGTCCCAATCTGTTGAGAAGTCATTTCCAAGAAGTCTGTGGGTAAGAGCTTTCCATATTTCCGAAGAGTACCCACATGAAAATAATAGATGATTCCTTGATTCTTCAATGTTGTCACAAAGAATGCAGTCTACTCTCTGGCCCGAGTTCCAAATCTTTATCCGATCTCCCGTTGATAAGCGATTATGAATGGCTAACCACGAGAAGAATGAATACTTAGGTGTCAGCATAAGAAAACCACACCCCCTTGTGCCAATCGACATGGGGATGAGCTTGTCTTGTAATGTTCCATGTGTCTTTGGATGAGAAAGACTTTTTGAATCTGTTTTCCGGTGATCTCCAAAGTGGAATGTCATTTCTACCCTCCACTCTCTCTGCGTTAGTCGTTGAATTTCAGCCTCAATATTGTTCAGAATTTCCACTCGGTGTCGTCGGCTCCTACGAGACCTAACAACTGATTCAACCGTTGCTTGTAGTGGTATCCCCAAATCAATGACTCCACGAGGTCCCGTTAAGTCTATTAATCTGCACATTTGTGACCAGTCATCATACCAGAATGAAGTTAAGTTCCCAGATTTCACTTCCATCTTGTGTAATGGTCTTGCAACCTCTCGATACTTCAATAGTTTTTTCCACATCCAAGAGCCCATGGTTGTGCTCTTTTTTATCGACCAGAATGTCTCCTTTCGCAAGATATATTTGGAAATCCAAGAAACCCAAAGAGATGCAGGGACACAATTCGCCATATCAGCTTCAGACAGCTAACCTTATTTGCTTCCATGAGAGACTTAATTCCCAGACCACGTTCTCTTTCAGTTAATTGCGGCCCATTGTTAAGCGCATGAGAGCTTGGGGACTAACATTTCTTCGAAACACAACAACGGAATATTAGTTGCATGTTAAAATACCACAAAGTCTAATCGGTTATTGATGACCTTGTTATTATTGAATTGACAATATCTAAAAACTGATTGTACATACGATCCGACCTATGGTTATAATGATAATGGATATTGCATGTAATCCGAGTTAGTGCTTGCTTAGTAACAAGGTACAGTTGTGCACTAGAATCAGTACACTCGTAAATCCAAACCATTCCACGAGACATTTGTTTCAATAAGGTGTAAGAACCAAGAACACACACAAATCAAACTCACATATATACTGTGAGGCTCGAGAACTAATCATTAGGAATGCACCAGCAAATATCTGATTAACCGGACGGGAGATATTGGACAGGGATAACTTTAAGAGTATTCAGATTCAAACTGGTAAGCCTTGTTGCGACCAGAATCGAGTACCTGTAGAAATACTAGCTTTCAGATTTCGCTTATACATATTACTTGGAGAATTTAAAGACACAGCTCATGATGTGACATTATAAATACGTAAAGAGATCAGAAACTCCTCATAATACTTATAAATACGATAGCCATGTCTTTCTGCGCTTTCACCCTCTGATAGAATATTGAGCAATCTCGACTGGTTAAGATCAATCAAGCACACGGATATTATCAACTCCATGGACATGTGCACCCATATTTATTCAAATATTACTACTCCAATCAACAATATTTTCGGTCTGAACTAGGGGTTGTAACAGGGTAGATGAATTGTCGAGTTTCCACATTTTGTGTAATATCACTGGAAAATGCATGCAATATTGGGGTTCAGAAACTGCTTTTATTTCAGTAGGCTGTTATGCACACAAACCTTCGTTTCAAGTAATAACTCATGAGTCAAACAATAGTGCGCAAATTTTACAATTACGCTATCAGAGCAATAAATAAGCAAAACATGGTGCATAAGACATCCTAAGTAAGAGAGCCTTGACACTCTTGGCACCTAGCAACCAGCTCTTCCTGGTCTGCGACTGCATCCACACACAAATTTCAGTAATCACCAACAATTCCATATGGAAGAACAAACGGAACCTTACACTGAAGAACACTTCCGCAGTATAGCTCGGTTTCTCTTCCCTTGCAACATGAGCAGAGAGTTCCATTCCTGGTTGTAGTCAATTTTGGAGACAGCAAAACAGATAATGGTGAGAATCAAAGTCTAGAAATAAGTAACATTGACCCAGTAAGATGGAAATCTTCTGGACCCGTATTCTTCGAAAGGAAACATATCCATATACAGGTATGTAACCGAAAAGTACCTGACCGGAGCTTTGCAGCCAATACAATTCAATGTTTTATTGACAAATTTCATCATGCCAACGTTTGAAGGAGCATCGATTGATGTTGACCTCATGTGAAACAATGGCTGGAAAGCCACTTTCTGGGAAAAAAAAGGCTGGAATGCCACCCAAGTTTTTTAGTTTAATTTGTTGAATTAAATTTAAACCCTTAAATATGAAATGACGAAAAACCCAAGGGGCAAGATCCAAGATCTCATTGACCCGTTTCCGTTTATCCGACCCAAGCCCACTAATTTTTGTCCAAGCCCATCCGAGAATTGAGCCCAACAAAGAGAGAAGTTGAAAACTCAAGAAAAACTTAAGCGTTTCATTTTCTCCGATTTCCCCCCTTTTCGAAACCCTAGAGAGAGAAAATGTCTCACAACTCCCCTTTTGTAAACCATAAACCTCTTATATCCCTTTTTTGTCTACATATCCCCTTCTCAATTAATGAAATGTGATCTGACAATTTTACCCTTTCTCTTTCTTTTTCATTTTAATTAATTATTTTCTGAAATGAAAAAAAAAAATCGAAAACAGAAAGAAAAAAAAAACGTCAGAACGCTCTCGAGCTCGAGCTCTCCTCGCCGGAAAAATCGATTTCAGTCGCCATTGCAGCCGTATCCTCTCCTCCGGCGAGCTGCGTGGAGATAGAGAGAAAAGGTATGTTGTTCGAGCTGCTTAGAGCTTCAAATTGAAGTTTTGGATTTAGAAATATAGGAGATTGAATCCAATTAGATTTGAAATTAAGCAAATTGTGTTTGGGTATGCACATTGGAAGTTTATGCATAGTTTCTGGGTCGAATAGGTCTGTAAATGGGTAAGAAATGGATAACAAAAACTGAATCATAGTTAATTGTAGTTTTGAACCCGAAACCATTCGATTTGAGTTCTTGTCGCGAAAGTACAACTGGTAGAACTGGGTAGAAATGTACCTGAATCTATTGAAAAATATATACGTAGTAATACTAGTTATACTAGTATTACCCAGGTGTATGTAGTATTACCAGTTACACTAGTATTACCCATTTACATGTAGTATTACCAGTTACACTAGTATTACCCATATACATGTATTATGACTAGTTGTACTAGTATTACCCAGAATTGTAGTACAACTAGTATAACTGACAGAGTTTTTGTATTGTTTTTGCAGGATACAATGATGGAGAACGTGAACATATATTTTAAATGCAATGGTCGCATGTATAGCTTGATGATGAATACATCAGGGGGAAAAATAACTCTCTGCATGTTAGAAGGTAGGATATGCACGAAGCTTGGATTAGATGAAAGTAAGGTTAAATTGCAAATGAAGTACAATGCAGTGCTGTTGGGACCAATTGAAGAGATTTACATTACTGATGATGATGATGTAGGTGTCTATATATCTTCAGGTGAAAATAACCGTAGATATGTTTTAAATGTGGACGTCATCACTCCACCAGAATTGCCCGAGCAACTGTCGAGAGTGGAGCTCCTCAATAAAAGTTCTGTTGGTAAGAACTATGCGGAATTTGATTCAAATGAGGATGAAATGAGAGATAGTGCTGCCATCGTTTTGTGCGAATGCGAGGAACAAGGAACAGAACCAAATGAGGCAATAATGGAGGTTGATGATACTCAAGATCCTGAGATTGGATCACGTGATGAATCTATGGATAGATGTGATGATAGGGGTGATGAATACGTTGAGCCACCGCCTGTTGTAGAAGCTGGTCAGTTTAAAAAAGAATGGGAAGACGGTATTGGACTGATTTTACGACAAGAATTTCCAAGCAAGGCGGCATTGCAGGAAGTGGTGGACAAAGGTGCATTTGCTAACAGTTTTGGTTATGTTATTAAAAAGTCTGATAAGGAGCGGTATGTCCTAAGGTGTTCTAAAGAAAGTTGTGGTTGGCGTACGAGCTTCAAATATTCGGAACACAAGTATTTACTCGATTAGAAAGTACAACAAGATGCATACTTGTACCCGGATAAGTAAGAGTAGTACAAGGATGAGGAAGAGGAAAGGTACTCCAGAATTAGTAGCAGCTCTTCTTCATGATACTTTTCCAGGACAAATGGAAACTCCAGTTCGAAGTATGGAAATACATGAATTGGTTTCAAAGTATTATTGGGCAGAGATGTGGGCATTGGCGTATTATAGGACTATTTATTTAGTCCCGGATAAGTCACAGTGGGATATCCCAGATGAGATCAAAGCGTTGAAGGTATTACCTCTGCCTCGAAAAAAGAAGAAGGATAGAACAAAAGTGTTGAGGCTTCCATCCACCGGGGAAAGGCATCCAAAACGTCAAAGGACTCAAAACAAAAGGAGGCCGAGGCAATCGCTGCAATGGTTGTTATTTGGCAACCATAGTATTTGATTTTATCTGAACTTTATGATTTGTAAACCATATTTGCGTTGTACAACTATGTAACACTAGATTTGTCTCCTGTAATACTATGTTTTAATTCACTGGTAGAAAGGTAATATTAGTATAACAGGTATTACTACTGAAGAAATTAGGTAATACTGGTATAACTAGTATAACTAATGAAGGAATTATGTATTTCTATTTTTTTTTACACCAACTATTACATAGACTATTAAGTGATAATGAACTCTTACGTACAAATGATTTACAAATTAGAGAAAAAAAAATTTCATGTAAGATTGTTTTATTAGACTACATCCAACATATTCCTTATACTTTTAAGCTCACTTTTGATATAAACTCCAATTTAGGATTGATATTTTACAATTTTATATATTGTTAACATTTGATAACATTAAACCTTTAGAATTCTATAATGATAGAGTTCCCTCAAGTGTACAACTAGATAAATCATTTTTAAGGATATGTAATACTGGTTAAATTGGAAAACACCAAAAGTACAACTATGTGGACAATTTGTACAACTGAAAACTAGGGTACAACTACGTTAAAAAAAACGGCGCACATGTCAAAAAGACTGCGCACACGTGGAAGTCTGCGCGCACACGTGGCATATAATTCCAATTTCTCCCCCCAAATTTTTTTCCCCTCCAATTTTCCCCCCGAAATCAATTTTCCCCAAAATCATTTTTCCCCAAAATCAATTAAACCCAAAATCAACAAAAACAAATAACTAAAATTCTTTTTTCTCCACTTCTAATTCACGATCGAGACTTCTCCTCTCTCTCTCTCTCTATCTCGAAATTCACTCTCTCTCTCTCCAAGCTCAAGAAAACGAGATCCAACTTTTTCCATCTCTTCAATCTTTCTCTCTTTTTCAATTATGGATAGATTGTGTGAGAGAGACCCGTGGTATGATGAGATGAAGAACGCTAAGAGGATTTATGATCAATTAGAAGAAGTCGGAATGATGGAAGGAATTCCGAATAGATGTCCTTGTGGTGGACGCATCCTCGACAAGATCTCTGAGAACGATGGTGACAAAGGGAAGAGATACTATCAATGCAACGTGTATGAGGTAAATTCAAGATATAGTATGTAGTATTACTAGTTACACTAGTATTACCCATTTACATGTAGTATTACTAGTTACACTAGTATTACCCAGATATAAGGTAAATAGATAGTAAGGAGATCCAAAAACTGAAGGAGTACGTGGGCATCTAGCGGAGACATTGTTGTGATTGAGGAATTAATGGGTTTGTGTAAGGTTCTTTATTGTTTTGTAAGACTTTTCTATGAATTGTAAGACTTTTCTATGATTTGCAAGACTTTTCTATGCTTTGTAAGCTTAATACTATTATTAGTATTACTAGTTTTACCCGTATTTCTTAATTAGTAATACCAGTTTTAAGAGTATTACCAGTATTACTAGTATTACCTATTTTACTAGTATTACCTATTTCCAAATTAAAATCATAACATAGCAAATCCAAATTCAAATCCTAACAGGACAAATCGAAACATCAAATCCTAACATAACAAAACCAAGTTCAAAACCAAGTTCAAATCCAAACATCAAAGAGACAAATCAGTCAACCAAGCTATGTCTTGCTCCGAGTCTTCATCTTGGTGACTTGTGCATCCACAACTTTCGAAGGACCACCATCCTTCTTGAAATGCTTCCTCTTGAACTCCATACTTCCCACATTTTTATAATCAAGCGCATAATTCTTGCAATTGAAGCCCAATATCAATGCATGTTCCGATATACCATATCGGATTGGAACGCCATTGACGATGAACCACACCTCTTTCTTCCTATCAATGCGCGCCGTGCGAAGAAGGAGCATCCACATCCCCATAAGTCGGTGGTTTGGGTCTCTTGGCATGTGGAAGACGTGTTGAAAACTCGGATGATTCTCAAAAAATGCCCTCTCAGACTTGCTCATCGGAGGCTCCAATTCATCGAATGTAGTCAACACTTCGTGAATATAGCACCGAGTTGATAGCTTGATTTTCTTCACATATTCTGAAGGCGGGAAATACATACTCAGCGGTGGTATTGCTCCTGTTTCCTCGTCGATCTCCTGCAACAGAACAGACATTCATCCATATATCATTATTCTGCGAATAGTATTACCAGTATTACCCTGAAAATATACACATAGTTGTACCCAGTAATACCAGTTTCACCCAGAATTCAAACACATAGTTATACCTTAGTAATACCAGTATTACCCAGAAATCAAACATATAGTAATGCCCTAGTATTACCAGTTATACCCAGAATTCAAACACATAGTATTCCCAGTTCTACCAGTTATACCAATAAATAATAGTTTTACCCTGTTCTACCAGTAGTACCCAGATATACACATAGTTTTACCCTGTTCTACCAGTTTCACACCATTCAAATACTTACCATAGCATTTTCCGGCGCATTTTCCATTGCAATCATATCCTCCTTACTCTCATCGGACGACTCTCCGCCCAAGGACCTACTACCATCATCGGAGGAGGACTCCTCTCCTTCCTCATTCCCTTCTTCTTTCTCTTCTTCTTTCTCTTCTTCTTCGCTCTCTTCTTCTTCGTTCTCTTCTTTTTCACTCTCTTCTTCCTCATTCTCTTCTTCCACTGGCTCTAAAACCGGAATTAAGGTCGAGGATGGCTGCTGCTCCGTCGAGGATGGCTGCTGCTCCGTCGTTGGTACTCCTCTCTTCCTCTTTAACCCAATTTTCTTTGGAGGCATTGTCGGAAACGAGAAAACGAAACAAAGGACTCGAAAATGAGAAATCTGAAGTTGCTTTCGAAATCGATATCTCCCAAGAAAATCTGAAGTTGCTTTAGAAGAAGGAGAATAAGAGGAAGAGTGGAGAAATTCTAGGGAGAGATTTGATTTTGATTTCTCTCATAAACTTTGAATCTCAAGATTTTGAGAAGATTTTCATGATTTGTTCCGTCTCTTTTCAAACAGAGAATAAAGAAATTAGGGTTATCCGGTTGGGAGAGATGGGTCGGGTCTGGGTTCGAATAGATCCGGGTTTTCACTGTAAATATTGGATTTCGGTTGGGGTATACTGGTAAAACCAACACTTTTCGAATTAAAATTAAATCAATAATAATTTCTGTTTATAAGGGGGAGATATGAGGTTACAGTTTGCCGAAAGGGGACTCCCCAGACATTTTCTCCCCTAGAGACAACTTCTCCGATTTCTCTCCGATTTCTTCGATTTCTTCTCCTATATCGTCGATTTCTTCTCCATTCTCACCTTCTAAGTCGAATTTCGCATCGCCCTTTCCCTGTTCATATCCAAATCCGCAAATCCGTCGAAATTCTGGGGAACTTTGCAATGGCTCGTGTAAGAGACGGCGAAGGGGTGTATGAATCGACGGAGAGGCGTCCGGCAGAACCAGCGGATGCTTCGGTCGAACCTGGAAGAGAAACCGCAGATCCGACAGAACCAGATGCTTCTATGGTCAAACCTGGAAGTGAAACCGTCGGGATGCAAACTGAGCCGACAGAAGAAGCAGTAGTTGATGCTTCCGAGAGTCAACCTGGAAACGAAACCGTCGAGTTGGAAAGGAATGATGCTGAAGAACAAGCAGCAGTTGATGATTCCGATATTCAACTTGGAAAAGAGAGTCCGATAGAACAGAGTACTGAAGCAGTAGAGGCTGCAGCGGAGGAACTCGTGGGTGCATCAGAGGAAGAGGAAGAGACCGTTTCTGCTCAGGTATACATTAGTCTGAGAATGGATTATTGGTATTCATCGTACAACTAGTTCAACTAGTGAATTAGGTTGTCTTTGAATATGAGTATATATAGTTTTGAATTTATTTCTTGGTATAATTGAATCAGAGAATATATAGGTTTGAATTTATTTCTTGGTATAATTGAATCAGAGAATATATAGGTTTGAATTTATGTGTCTTGATACAACTAGTTCAACTTATCTCGATTATATACTTGTTTGAATTGTGTGTTTTGATATAAGTAGTTCAACAACTTAAACTCAGCGATTGTGTTTTGAATATGTAGGATACATATGAGGAAGAGGATGATGCTGTTGGTAATGCTGGTGAAGAGGATGAGCATGGTGATGTTGGTACTGGTAAAGATGGTATAGAGGCTGAAGAGGATGTTGGTATAGAGGAGGAGGCTGCTGCTAAAGATGGTATAGAGGAGGAGGCTGCTGAAGCTAGTAAGGACGTTGCTGGTATAACAGCTGATGATGATTCTGGTAATGATGATGATGAAGATGATTCCCAGCCACTGCCGCCAGAGAAGATGTGCTTAGATAGTTCAGAATACACCAAAGGGTGTAAAATAGGAACTAGGTGTAATGTGACTGAGACAGTGAAGTTGATAGAGGAAGAGTTTAAAGACGAGACAATATGGTTCAGAAGTCACCCTCAGTTCAAGCATGTATTCCACATGCCTAGGGAGCCAAACCACATGACTCAAGGCATGTGGATGCTTATGCTGCGCACAGTTGACACAGATCTTGAGAGGGAGTGCTGGTTTGTGGTTAATGGAGTACCTATTAGGTACTCCATCAAAGAGCATGCGTTGCTAACTGGGTTTAATTGCAAGGAATACCCGGAGAAGCATGAGGAAATGGGGAATTTGAGGTTTGTGAAGAGAATCTTCAAAAGGACTGAGAAGATAAAGGCATCTGATGTATTAGCTAAGTTGAAGGAAAAGAAGAGTTGGAAAGGAGCTGATAAGAAGAAGTTAGTAGTCTTGTATTTCCTAAGCAAGATACTAAAAGCAAGCTCAAAAAGTGATGGAAACATAGTTACCTTTCTCTTAAGGATTGTTGATGATTTGGATGCATGTGAGACATATCCATGGGGCAGGTATTCATTCTCAGAATGTATGAAAGGGATCCGGAATATGATGAAGAATTTGAATGGGTCTGTCAAACCTAAAGCTCAACCTAGCTTTAGTGGATTCATTGTACCTCTGGAGGTAATCCTTTGTTTTTGATGTCTGAGTATTTGAAGTTGTATATATGGTTTTATGATATTAACTGTGTGTGTTTTTTTGTAGATTCTGGCTTATGAGGCTATTCCACATCTTGGACTGAAATATAGAGTACCTGTACGCTGCAGCAAATGACTGTCCAAGGATGTGCAAGCACAAGTTTAAAGAATCTGCCATGAAAGGTATCCCTTTGGAAGAAATATATCAAGAGCTTGGGACTAGCAAGGTTAGAGTTTTTGTCTTCATTTGATTATTTGGTTTGTGTCATGTATTTGATCAAGAGTCTAAGTTAAATGTATGTGTGTGTATTCACAGGATATTGACAACATCTTGGTACCAGACCAATATGAGAAATCTCTGTGGGCTGGAATCATTGAAGATAATGTTGATGATGGCTTAGGGCAGATTGATATCATTGTTGACAGTTGGAGAGAGCGTCTAGTAGAAAAGAAGAAAAAGATATGGTGGGAAGGAATGTACCAGCTGGACCAGGCGTCCCGAGAGATTGGAAATAAGTTTCTTGAGCAAGAAGTCCCTGAGAAAGAGAGTTCTGATATTGCTAACCTTGTTGCATCTATAAACTCACTAACAGAGGTGGTGAACAATGGCTTTCAAGCCATTAATGAGAAGTTGAGTGACATGGAGATTAGAGTGAAGACTCTTGAAGTTGCTGTGGCATCCCAGGTTCCGATGTTTACGCCATATGGGTCGCCTGTGGAAGCACAATATGGGACAAGAACTGATTTTGAGGGTGGGCAGCCGAGTCAACCGAGTCAAACCATGGATTTGGTTATGTATAATCCCATTTCTCCAACTGTTCCAGAACAAGGTGAGTGTAGAAGTTTCTTGGTTAATTCCTGAACTTTTAAAATGGACTAATAAACTGTTTTCTTTGTACATTGTATGAAGGTGATGAGGAGGAGAAAAATAATGAGGAAGAGATGAAAGGAAAAGAGAAGAAGAAGGGCAAGAAGACAAACAAGAGGAAGCAGCAAGAGGGTGGACCTGTAATAGCAACCGGACAGAAGCGAACAAGGGCAGCTTCCCAACATATTAAGACACCATTTGTGGAAGTGCAGCCAAAGAGAAGGAGAAAGAAGTAAGAACTATGGTTGATGTGTGCTGGTGGAGTAGGAAAAAACTAAAAAATCTTTTGGACACAATTATTTGTGTTTTGAACTAGTAGGAACTATTGTTGATGTTATTTTGGTTGTTTTTGGATTTACTACTAGTTATTTTGGTGGTACAACTGTGTTGTGTTGGTACAACTGGTGGTACAACTGTGTTGTGTTGGTAGTTTTGGTTCAACTGGTCAAGTCGGTACAACTGGTCATGACGGTACAACTTCGTGGTACAACTATGTCAAAGCAAAGGCAATTTTGGAAAGAAAACAAGGTCAAATATTTGTCAAACATTGTCAAATAAAACTTGGTCTACCACTTAACTAGCATTGTTAAACATTGTTAAACTAGCAATTATGTTTTACATAAGGAATACAACAAACTCGGTTTCTTAAGTACAACAACCACAACCAACTACCACTTAGCTAGCAAATCCCTCAGCTTGCTAATCTGGGTTTCTTTCTCCTCCAAACGCTTCTCAAGATCATCGAGTTGAGCACGCATAATTCGAACAGACTCGCGAAGTGACTCCAACATTGGATTTTGGTAAGCGTGATGGATTGATTCTTTCTGGGTTTCAAATTTGTTATGCACAACACTAAACTCCTCATTAACCGCATCATCCCACCACTTCTGGAAGTGTTCTCCACCATCCTAAGCATAAGCATCAATCATCAATCATAAGAAAAACGAAGGGATCATCAACAGAAATTACAAACAATTCATCATACCTCATAATTCGGACATTTGTATTCCTTTCTTCCTTGATTATTGCCAGTGGTACACACAACAAGCTTAACGTAGGTTCCACAGAAACAATATCTAGGAATACCCCAATTACCGTCAGCTCTTGCCCAACTCATATCCTCACTCGGCTCCGATTCGGAGCTTTGAGTATAACTGATTGGCATTCTCACTGCAACTCCTCAAGAATAATCAGAAATTTAAAAACCCTAGATCCAAATCCGAATCTAGGATATACAAATCAAAAACGGAGAACCCCAAATAAGAAAACCCTAGATCCAAATCCTAATCTACAAACCCAAACCCAATCAAAAACGGAGAACCCCAAATAAGAAAACCCTAGATCCAAATCTGAATCGACAAACCCAAACCCTAGATCTAGGAATTAGAAAGCACCAACCTTGTTAGATAGGAGTCGTTCGCCGAAATCTCTGCTCTCGCCGTCGGGATCTCCGCTCTCGCTCGCCGGAATTTTACTTCTCTACTTTTCTGGGTTTCGCAAATGAGAGAGAGAGAAACTAGGTAAGAGAGAGAGACATAGCTTATAATAAAACCCTAGATCTATCGATCTATCTTCCTTTTCCTTTTAAAAGAATATCTAAAAACAAAAATACTTTTTAAAATAAATTGAGTTTGGCGGCTGTACTTGTTTAATAGTATTAAATATGTGGGACCCATGATGGCTGCATATACTCATAGTTGTCCAGTTGTACTAGGAGCAACATAGTTGGACTTTTAACACTTTTTCTTGTTTTCAGTTGGACTAGTATTTAAATAATTAATTATAAGTTGGACAAATGATTATTCTGAATTATTTGGCATATCCAAGGGTGACATAATATTATATTTACCAAATCATTGTTTTCACGTCTTTCACTATGATTTAGGTTATCTTATACTAAGTATCCCTTATACTAGAAGGGGTTGTTTGTGTGAGAACATCATTTTACATAGATTTTTTTAAAAGTTGTATTCGAATGTTAAAATTTTCTATAAAAGTTAATTCTATTATGATTATATTATAGAATTATTCTTTTATTACATTTTTTTTATAAAAAATGTTGTTTTATAATACTATCGTAGCTGTACAAGTTGTACAAGTTGAACCAGTTGAATAGTTAATGCAAAACTTATGGAACATATTGGACTTACTTGTAATAGCTGAACTCAGTATATAAACGAATACAAATACAACTTAAAACAAACAGACATGTTCTTAGCTGAACTCAGTTGAACTAGCTGAATTGTTAATGCACAAACGAGACACAGACATGGTCTTAGCTGAACCCAGTTGAACCAGCTGAATTGTTAATGCACATGCGAGAAATACAAGTAAAACACAGAAACTCAAGTTAACCATTCTCATCATTGGGAGGGGGCTGCAACCAACTCTCCAAGTTAATGCCAGGCCGTGCCTTGTTTTGGGTCCTCTTTCGTCGCTTTTCCCCGGTGGATGGAAACTGGGTCTCTTGATTTCTACCTTTCTTTGGTTTGTAATCCGGCGGTTTTGCGATCTTCTCCTCGTAGTCAGCTGGGAAAGTCCATTGAGACTCATGCGGCACAACGTAAATCGTTTTGTAATATGCCAATGCCCACGTCTCGATCAAGTAATATTTCGAACAAAGACCATATATGCTTACTTCCGTTGTTCTCCATTCATTCCGACAATGCTTAATGGCTGCGGCTATACCATGGATGCAAGGGTACTTGTCTATATCAAAACACCTACAAGTACAAGATTTCATATCCAAGTCCACCAAATATGTTAAACCATCAACTCCAATTACGCTATATTCGCGTCGGTAGCTGTTAAGCTCAGTGACCGTCAACTTCGCAGCTATAGGACATCGGATATGTAATATATTCTCCCCAACAGGCACCACCTGCGTTGTGTTCGATGCATTGGCAGAATCTTTTCGATGTTTGTTGAACCATTCGGAAAACTTCTCCAATATCGCATCAATCATCGGTAATAGATGGTACTTCCTTACTTCCTTAAACACAGCATTCATTGACTCTGCGGAGTTGCTAGTATCTATGTTGTACTTGTCTCTCTCAGCATGACTCCTAGCCCATTGTTCAACCCCAATAGAATTATCCAGATATTCAGCAGCTCTAGGATACCTTCTCCTAAAATCACCATACTGAATGCTGAACTCGGTCTTAGTATATATATGAGCGCATTCCTTGAATTTCTCAACACCTAAGTCCTTGTCCCCAGTCAACTTTGGCCTAAGGTTTTGGGACAAATGCCATATACAATGACCATGTGATGCGTTTGGAAACACATCCATCACTCCCTTGATGATGCTTTGATGTCTCTCGCTTATGAAAACCAAACCATCTTCATCCGGTACTACCTTTCTCAACATTCTAAAAAACCAATTCCAACTAGCATGATTCTCACTATCAATTACACCAAACGCAATGGGATAATGGTGACGATTAGGATCCTGAGCTGTTGCAATAACTAACATCCCACCATATACAGTTTTCAGAAAAGTTGCATCAATCACTAACACTTTCCTCATTGCCTTAAACCCTTCAATGCTTGCTCCTAAAGCGATAAATAAGTAAACCTATCTTCTGCATCCAATTCCACTTCCGTTACTGTCCCAGGATTCACCTCTCTCAACATGTGGAGATAAGCATACAACATCGTGTAGCAAACTTCAGGGTTCCCACGCATATCACTAACATGTTGTTTTTTCCCTCTCAAGGCGGTGGAGTAGGAACAATCCAAACCAAGTCTTCCTTTAACAAGAGTCATGATGGTTTTAGGATCCGGTGTTTCCAATTGACCACGGAAGTCCTCATGCAAAACACTTGCTACTAATCGTGGTGTGCCTTTTTGTTTAAAATATCTAGTACTCTCCTCACACCTAGAGCATGTATGCATGTTTTTGTGAACTCTTACACTCCAAAAATCAGATTTCTTTATTCTAGCAACTCTTAAATACCATTCACAACCCATGGAAGCTTGACTGCATTCAATCATAAGTCGCACCGGGTCCGACTTCACACATCTCACACCAAACAACTCGGCCTTTGCAGCTCTATTAACCAAATCCCATACTGCCTCCTTAGAAGGAAATTCTTGATCTTTTTCCAATTCCAAACCATCTTTCCATTCTTTAACTGTTTCCTCACTTGGTTGTACAGTCCGCGAAAGCTCAACATATTCATGCCTAACATCATTCTCATAATCTTCATTTACACCATTCTCTATCATGAGCTGTTCAATAATCGGTTCATTAACTATAGCAGGCTCTTTCTCTTGTTCTGATCCTTCCCCCCATCTAAACGCACTCAAGTTTGCTTGATTATTTACATCATCAGTCCTTACATCATTGGCAGCCACTTCCCCATAATTCAAACAGCATGAACTTCTTCTCTCTACTCTTGGTACTAGCTCCACCATCTGATTACTTTCAAGATTGCATAACTCCACATGCAAAACTGGTCTAAATCCCTCTTTATCCAATGATGTTAAGAATATACAAACATCCTCATCATCTAAAATATAAGACTCTCTCCTTCCTTTACATATCATGTAACTCAATTTCATCTTCCTTCTCGCTCCGTCTATAGCAATCTTCTTACAGATCTTATCTACCAACACCGGATATGTTATTCTCTCCAAAGATGTTGTCTTAAACATTATAGCATATACTGAATTGTTGCAATTCCACTCATGCTCTTCTGAATAGTACCCTCCATAGTCAAAATATATGTTTGTGTGGATCTTCTTCTTCATCGCACTGCAGATAGAACAAAATAAATCACTAATTTCGATACAGCACTTGTAACAGTTATACCAATTGTACCAGTCGAACTACACTATCATATATGTACCAGTTGTATTATTCAATTTCAGTTGTACCATGACCTTCTGCAACTAACGATACAAAGGAGGAGCTACATTCTAATTTCCCTCGGATTCAACACGATTCAACTCATAAATCCTACTATCTAGAGATTTCTACACTTACCATTGCCAAACTCTACCATTGCAAATACCTAAACAAACAAATTTCAAAGCACTTACTTGGTTCAATCAAGATCCAACAATGGAGGAGAAGAAAGAAGGTCCTGTCCGTCGAAATGGATGAGTCGACGGCGAGGCTAAGAGGAGGAGCGGGAGTAGACGAAACAAATGGCGAGCTCTCAAACTAGATCCAACAATGGAGGAAATAAAAGCAGCTCCTGCGCCGGCGTCGGCGCTAATGACGACCAAATAATCGAGCGCTCAGCAGCTCCGGAATCTTCAGTGTGTCGGGGATTGAGATTGGATCGAGATTTCGAAACCCACAGCTCGTTTCTCGCTTTGCTTTGAATCTTTGTTTTTTTTAAAAATAAATTAAATCAAATAAATCAGATATATCATTAAGGGTATAAGAGTATTATCCACTATATGGGTGGCATTGAGACTCTAAAATGGCAGGCAGGATTCCATTTTCCGGTTCAGTGGCAAACTAGCCTTGGTCTCACCTCATGTTGGGTCTGTATAGAAGTTCCTTTCTTGCATCTTTATAGACTAGCTCAAAAACCCTAAGAAGCGGCTGCGTACATCTCATTTGATTTAACCCCAAATTTTCATAACAAAAAGGAGACAATAAATTTATTGACAACCTCACTTCAAACCCACCTTGCTGATCTGGTTCTCCAGATAGTAAACTAGGTCTATAGGTATGTTATTCTCTATCATATAAATCGGATCTTCTGACCGTTCATAAGCCTAGTTGGCATACAAAAGATATAATCAAGCTATAAAAGATAGTGACCTGGATACATCAGATAACAAAAAATAAACAAAGTCAACAAGAAACTTACCTTGGCACCTCTTCTAGCCTTTATAATAACATATGGTACCCGATCCCCGACATTAGGTGCTGTAGCAGCATCCCTCTTTTTTTTTTTTTTTTTGATATAACTGTAAATATCATTAGAAATGAAATATTTAGGAATTAAAAACATAAAAACCTATGGTTTTTGAGACCTTGCCAAAAAGAATAAAAACAAGGCAACAAATATTTTGAAATCAAGATAAAGAAATCATGAAATCAACGGATCCAAAGTTACATTAAGTTTCCAAAATGCTTTCTTCGACGTCTAGCAAAGATTGTGTTCCGAACCTCTTTGTCAATCAGCTTGAAAGTGGTTTGGTGCGGTAACCGTTTATTGTTGTGGAGAACATTGTTTCGCTGCTTCCAAACATGATACACCGTGGGTTGAGCTGCAATTTTCCGGATCAGAGTTGGTGCATCAGATGACTGAAGTCTGTTCCATGAGAGAAGCTCATCCCAGGTGAGGAAAACTTTTCGTCTCGGGTCGAGCCTAGACAGAACCAGTCTCCAAATTGCAGCAAAGAAGAGGCAGCAGTCCGTAGAGATGTCGAGATCCCAAGACGCAAGCCTTTGCCTTGTAGGTAGTCTTTTGAGATTAGCGATCCACATATTGAAAGCGTGCTTGGGGATAGCTCCTTTAAACCAGACAGAAGAGGCCTAGTCTTTGACAGTACTTCGAGGCCTGAGCGCTGATAACATGGGATTTTAGCTCATATTTGCTACTGTTTTCTTATGTTTTAGGGATTATTTGGAGTGATTTCAGAGCCAAGAAGGTGATATTCAAGTATTTATGGAGTCAAGAACGTTTTAAGAGTTTTTGAGCATTAAAGACCAAAAGACGATCAAAACCCGTTTCAAGACAGTTTTTGTACGTTAGAAGTATGGCGTCCGTTCGAGGTCTTCTAAATTAGAAAATCAAGAGATCTAGGTGGCTATGAAAATCTAGAAGAGTCAAGATTCTCCTCAAAGTAGAATCATAGCAATCCAATAATCCATTCGGAAGTTATGACCAGAAGAGTGAAGACATGTCCAGCCGGCCAGAAGCTATGCAACCGTTCAGGAGCTTCACGACCGCACCGGTCACAAGTCTCGTACCCGGGCTGTCTTCCACTCTCACCACCGATCACTAAAGTCTCTACCTGGTCCAAAGACTCGAGCTGCACTTAACCTAATTCACGGAAAAAGACGCTTTTACCCCTAAACCGACTCCTTGGTCTCCAAGACCTATAAATACCTGATGAAAACCCTAAACCTAGGTGTGTCTTCGAAGTGTTTTCACTGAGTTCGTCCCTGCCCTCGCCGTAAGCTGCAGCCGTCGACCTAGAGCTTGAAGACCACCAAATCTCTCTCTTTTCTCTTGTATACTCTAAAGATCTATTAAGGTGAAGTCTTACCTCTTGTATTCTACATTCAAAGAAGTAATCTCTAAACCCTATTCAGTTCTTATTCATCTATTTCTTATGGGTTTATCAAACCTTAATTTGATGATCTCTTTAACCATGCTAGAGTAGTTTTCTAGTTGGGTTTAAAGGGTTAATCAAAGGGAGAATATGATTGATAGTCTAGGTGGCGATACTTAGGGTTTTGTTTGATCGTTTACAATATATTCTTTCTAAGTAAGTTTTCTCTTAATGAATCTACCTAACTCGTGATCCCAAGTGGTTAAATCGCTCACAAGGTTGTTTAATACGCTAGATCTAGCTTACGAATGTGTATCGTATTATAACAAGCACACACCACTTAGTTATAGGGCTTTATGGACTAGAATCAAACTTGATCCTATTGCTTTGATATATGCGTCGTTGCCTGCGTAGGTTGAGTAACGAAGTATAAGGATTTTTAGCCGACTAATTCTATAACCTAGGGTTAGCCAATCTTTGGTGTTTCGTATGTCTGAGACTTGGAAGTAAACAAACCGAATTCTAGTATTTCTTAGATAACAACCATTATACCCCTTGCGATCCCTTGATGCCCAACGTTTGTTTATCATATTTTACTTGCTTTATTTACCCGCTTTATTTACTTGCTATCTTATTTACTTTTACTTGCAATCGTGACACCAACCAACAACCCCTTTTTCTGTTTTTTTCTAGCTTTACTTGTTCTAATAGATTCATCCGAACTACTTCTCTCTCTGTGGGATTCGATCTTTAAATACTACAACCGATTCACTGTGCACTTGCAGTAGTCGTGTGGTCTTTTGAGGTAAAAGATTGAAGCGATAATATCACACGCGATCAAGCAATTCCCAAGTCTTTGAGGCCGAGAAACCTAGACAGACAACTTTTCTACAACCCAATAGAATCGATATTCAACAGCTGAGCTACAGGGAACTTGAGTTGTAGTAAGATGAGCATGGAATAAGACAGCCGGATCAGATCTCGGAGAAGGGATTGATCATTGGGAGTCATTCACCGCATCTTTAACTTTGGAATGCAATGGCAGGCGCAGACTCTTGGTCCATTATCGCCTAGTAGCTTTATTAAGAGACCTAGGGGAGTTCATGTGTCAAACCAGAAGCTACAAGCCTACAATTGAGTTCATTTCCCACCTTGCACCTGAGGAACTTTTCAGCTAACGGCCTTAGGTGCAAAAGCGATTTCCAGGTCCAAGAATCAGAAGCAGCTTTAGTGAGGCTCTAAAAACTAGCATTTGCAATGTTATGGTATTTTTATGCCATTTTGCCCAGAGAGATTTATTTTCTGCGAATAAGAGCCAAATAAACCGGAGGCACAAAGTAGTGTTCCACTTTCTGAATCTCCTTAGCCCATACCTCCTTCCTCTTTAGGTAAACAAACACTTGACCACGAGACTTTAGTTCCCCTACCACTCTCAATGTTGCCAGACCACAGAAGTCTAGAACAAAGAGATTCAATTTTCTTTATGCAACCAAGAGGAATCATGAAAGAAGTCATCCAGAAATTAACAGCACCATAGATAACCGAGGCAATGAGATGCGCCCTTCCAACAAAGGACAAGGTTTTCACTGCCCATCCTCTAAATCTAGAGGCAATCTTCTCAATGAGAGGGTCATACTCTTTAACTCTTAGCTTTCTATGCAATAAAGGCAAACCAAGATACCTGATAGGTAGATTTCCCACCTCAAAGCCGTAGCTGGCAATGGCAACAGCCTCATCAAGATTCAGGCCATCATAGTACATATTTGTTTTAACCCTGTTCATTTGAAGCCTCGACCAGCTAGCGAAGTCTTCCAATTAAAGCCTTTTTGATCCCATGAAGAGAGAACTCACTACCGTCGAAGAAGATCATGACATCATTCGCGAACATAAGGTGAGAGATATAAAGAGAGGTAGTTCTTGGGTGGTAATGAATGAGCCCAGCTTCAAACCTTGAACTAAGGAGCATGGAGAACACCTCCATAGAAAGCACAAAGAGGGGTGGAGAAATCGGATCACCCTATCTTAAGCCTTTGGAGCTCTTGAAGAAACCACTTGAAGCACCATTAACACAAACAGAGAAGGTCGGTGTGGTGATGCATTCGCGAATCCAACCAATAAACTTGATAGGGATGGCTAGGGCAGTCAGCGCAGATAAAATAAAGTCCCAGTTAACCGAGTCGAAAGCCTTTCTTAGATTAACCTTTAACATTGCTCTTGAATCAATGTGACTTCGATTGTAACCTTGTACCTGTTTAGTAGCTAGCAGCCCATTCTCTGCAAGTAATCTCCCCGGCATGAACATAAATTGTGAGGGAGAGATGACTTGAGACAGAATAATCTAAAGATTTGAGGCTATAAGTTTGGCAATTACCTTGTAGACAGAGTTAAGGCAAGAGATCGGACGAAAGTCTGTAGTTCTAGAAGCATTGGTGATTTTAGGAATAAGAACCAGATTTGTGGCGTTCCAATGCTTCAGTAACTTACCGGACTTGAAGAATTCAGCCACTGCCGCAGAGATCTCATGATCCATAATAGGCCTGCAACCTTTGAAGAATTCAGCCGAATAACCATCAGGCCCACTGGTCTTGTTCTTAAGAAGAGAGAAGAAAGCATCTCTAATCTCTTCATTGGTGAACTGCTTGTCCAAGAACTCTTTCTGCGCCGGCGAGCATCTATAGGGCAAAAGAAGGTCCATGTCACTTTGAACAATAGGAGTTGACGCCACCTCGCCTCCCAACAGCTCATAAAAGTAATTTACACCATGGTCCTTGATGTCTTGTTGGGAATCATAACGAGTTCCATCGTCACCAATCCTGTGGTGAATTTGATTAATAGATCTCTTTGTAGCTGCCATACGATAGAAAAAACTAGTGTTTCTATCACCATTCCCTAGCCATGATATACTCGACCTCCGACAAAAGAAGGATTCTTCAGCAGAAGCAAGGTCTTGCCAAACTCTTTGCGCTTCAAGCTCCTTTCTTGCATTAAAGACATTTGGAAGAGCCAAAGTTCTGAAAGTTCTGCT